AGGAGCAGCCGAGTTTTACACGCTTTCCTGTCAGATTACGGCCGATTCATGTGGATTAAATCTGGTTTTACAGGATCCAAAGAAACAGATCAACAGTTACTGCAAAAAAACAGAAAATACGATTCACTGAAGCTTTTACTACTTTAATTTACTCTATTCACGAGTTTTAGACATTAATATGTACATATTTAATGTTTATCTTAAGTATATCTGTAAATGAAGTGTGATTTCTGTTAATTTAACAACTGCCAAAAAAGTCAACTTACTTTAAATAATGCGGGAAAATTTATATCGCATGATGTTGACTATATGTGTAACAACACAAACAAATAAATTTAAATGTATTTTAAATAACATAGCATTATTGAATTTGATCTACAGAAATGTGTTTTTGTTTACAAAACTCCTTCATATCACACACTCATCTCATAAATGAACTTTTTTCATAGCAACAAGATGAAAAAAATTAAGTTTTTTATAAATTTATTGAGGACAGAACATGGATAATTAAAAACAATAAGTAATCGGCCTATTTTGTAATTAAACTCTCCCAAATAAATAAATATAGCTAAAATATGCATCTTAGCTATAAAAAATAATGACTTATATAGTCATTATTTTACTCATCTCTATTCATATAAACATATTGCAAAAAATTACTACCTATCCTTAAAAAGGTGTTTATCTGAGTCCCATTAAAGTCCAAACTGAACAGGAGGAATGAACGGGGTGAGGATGGGGGTGAGGCGGGGGTGTCGGTCGCTTGTCGCCGTGGCAGCCGCCGCCATGTCACCGCCTCCCCCGTGGGAACCGGCCGTCAAACGGAAAGGTTGTCTCACATCTGCATAATCATTAAAACGGCGACAGAAAGTCATTCTGGGAAACAATCAATGTTGTTTTAAAGAGCCTTAAAAAAACAAAAAGGCTGTGAAAAAAGGCTGGAGGTGTCTTAAAGAAGATTTAGTGTCTCATCCCGACGAACGGCAGCGCTGGCAGTTTTACCGGAGACGCAGAACCTCCGAGGGGTTTACAGACAAACACTGTGGATCAGATTTTATTTAACAAGACGCGAAACACTGACTCTGGATCAGTTTACCTGCTAAACAGATTTTAGTTATGCATGATGGATTATTATGAAGGATGCAAAATACATCATCTTGATTACATCCTTTATTCTGGACTGCAGCTGATCTAATGTTGTTTGGTAAAAGCTACATACTAGTTCAGCAGTAAGTACGACAGTAAATATCACTGATATTTATCTTAGTATTACAGAGGTGGGCAGAGTACTCAAATATTGTGATAAATAGTTGTAGTGTACTTATATTGTTAATAATTTAGATGGGAACGAGGCGAAAGCTCGTTCTAAGCTTGTGGCTTGTTTAATGTTGTCATAGCAACTCTGTAGCAACTGCCTACCAAGATGGCTGCTGCCATCTTAATAGCAAATGCAATCAAGACAGTAGTTGCCACTTCCATATGTGGCACTAAACCAGGATTCGTATCTGATAGTTCCCCAGGCATCAGAACTGTCACGTTGCATTTCATTCATTTTTCATGAGACGTTCGTCTTAATTCTGCACCTGAATGTTTCGTTTTTCTTTTCTTCCTTCATCCTATTGGCTTGTGACGATATTATCAGCTCTGATTGCTGAATAAGTTTAAAACTGATCCATAAATGGCGTCCATCATTATTACTGCTGGGTGAGGTTTACCTTCTTTTTATGCGCTTTGGGGACATGAACCGTTCACAGAAGCCTGATGCTGTCGCTTGGCGCAGCAACGACGGACTTGTTTAGGATTAACCCTTTCATAACTGCCTGCAGCTCCAATTTATTCATGTATTTTATTGTGTTTTTCCTTCATTGTTCTGCCCACATATAAGCTAAGAACCAAAACTTCAACAGCACAACAGAGACAAAATACTTAAAACAAGAGAAAATAATAAATACCTAAAACTAGCACAAATTATTAAATAAACCTACATCAAACACTGTTTAAAAAATCTCCTTGGTACATAATAATAATGTGTAAAAGAAAACAGATTTTAGCTGGGCAGTACAAACATATAGTAGCTGTAAACACTTTAATTCATATTTATATTAATATTAAAGTTTCTGTATTAAAAACACAGCTAACACGGTTTGACCTCATAAATGTCTCAGAACCAGAATGCCTGAAAACAAATCATTAGTTTTTATTAATTGGGCCAGAAACTTTCAGCACTAAGAAAACGCTGTGAAAAAAGTTTAAACTAAATCAGAACTAAATTGGGAGTATGAAAGCCTATTAAATAAAAACAACCGATAACGGTGACACGGGGAAGAGAAGGAACATAGAAAAAAGAGGAAAAAGAACAAGAAATAATAAAAGAAGTGATGAGGAAGCAAAGGGAAGGAGAGGAGGTAAGGAGAGTGTCCTCCTCTATCAGCAGATAAGCGGCAGAAACAGATGAATCCTATTGGCCGGAGAGCCTCATCCAGCCTCTTATCTCCTCGCCTTCATGAACTCAGGACACATTTCATAGAAATTTGCGAAATCAGGAAAGCCGTGTATCGTGTCATCTATCACCGGCCGACGCCGGCCCATACATCCTCACAGCTTCACAATAAAAGCCACAATTGACATTTTTCTTAAAGTTTCCCAACAATTATGCTGCAGCGGCTGCGAAGCTGCTTTCAAGGTCGAACAAAACTTTGAGGAGTTTAAGTTTCAGGTCCAGAATGAACAAATTTACAGATAAGCAGCCAGACAGTCGGGACGAGGAGCCTGTTACGGAAAAACTTATGACGAAATTAAAATAAAGACAAAAAAATGTATCTTATTGTTTGAATTCCCTCAAAACCCCAAACAATCAAACGGTAACTTCATGAAATAAACCATCATTAATCATCGACTCTTTGTTCCCTCTAAACAAGCTTGTTGTCACATTATTAAAAAAACAGTATCATACACACAGGATCGGTTTCAGAAAAGTTTTCATCCACGTGAACCTGCACAACTACGACCCTGAGTGTTGTTTTAAACATGCCAAACCCGTAGGGGGCAGCGTAGCGCAAAGCTAAAACCTGTCAGCAAATCAGATTGCTTCAAAACAAACAACTTCCTGTTAGGAATTAAATCTGGAGGATCATTTGTGCGGACAGACATATGGGATGAACTACTTGAAAATATCATGCTAGAATATTAAGTTAATAAAACACAAGAAAAATTTGATTCCAAGTTTTTTTCAGTTGGGCCTGAATTAATTGTATTGTATTATACATGATATATAGGAAATTAATTCTCAGGTTCTTCAGTCTTTTATTGTTTGAATTATTTATATTTTTATTATGGATCTCTTTTCTGCTCTGACTGTTGGAGGTTTGTTGCTGTTATGATAAAAGTCTCCAAAAACAAGCAAAAAAAAGAAAAGAGTTTTTAGATTTGGTGCTAGTCGCTATTTTGAGAAAAAAAAGACAGTAGAGGGTCTGAAAAGTCGCTAAATATTCCAAGTGTATAACTCAGCACCACTGACCCATTAAACCCCCTCTGCTCATCCCCACACCGGGCCACGCCCCTCAGAATCTATTGGCCACGCCCCTCAGAGTCTCTTGGTCACGCCCCTCAGAGTCAGATTCGTCTGGGGGCGGGGCTAAGCTTCCATGACAGCTTAGTTACACTCTAATAATTTAATTAATTAAAATCAGATTTTTGAGTTTTCTCATTTTTCCGATTTAAAATGTTTAATCATTTTTTACAGTGCAGGAGGCATGAGACTGTTTACACCTTAAGAAATGCTTTTGAATTTACATTTCTATGCAAATGTTCATTATAAATAATTAAAGGCAGGAAACTTTGGTTTATGCATTTTAATCTGGATAATTTCTTTACTTTGTATTTGTTCTGTCCATAGATGAACTGAGAGCTTCCAGGCTAATATCAGTTTATTCACAGTTCCCTCTGCGGTAATAAGCAGAACCTGGTCTGCTGCTTGCAGGCAGTAAAGTTTGAATCGGATCCTGAATGGCCTTCTGAATGTGTGCTCTCGTGTTGTGCATGACAAACTGGTCCAATTCCAGGCGTGTCGGGACGCCCGGCTGATATTTGTCTTGCTGGTGTTGAAGATGTTTTGCCCCTTCCCTCCTCCTCCTCCTCTTCTTGTGGTTTTTTTTTTTTTTTAGTTTCCCTGCAGATTTAAATCGGCTGGAGCGCCCGCGGTCCGTTCCTCCTCTGACAGCACAGAAATAATTACAGTTACAGACCGGCTTGCTGTTATATTAGCCCTCTTATCAGGCTGCAGAGGGGAGTAGTTGATCAAGCGAGGTCACTGTATCCTGACCACAGCACAACAGCTACACGGTTATTTGGAGATATGATAAATAAAAGCTGCAACAACACTCTTATCAGCCTCTGAGTGCTTTTTGTTTCATTCTCTCTGCTCTGTGGCCGTGTCTCCGGAGAAAAGAGAGGAAAGTTAACAAAAACCTGCAACCATCTGGTGATTAACTCCGGAGCTAAAATAACAGATGATTTCTCTGCATGATTTTAAAGCTTCAAGCTGAGAAAGTGTGCTTTCAGCATGCATGCGGGGCTATTTATTTATTCCCCGACCCTGTCAGATAGCGTGTGAGGTTGTGTAAATGCAGCCACATTATTCTAACAACGGGGTCGCAGACAGCAGCGCAGCAGAGAGCAGAGATAATAGATGCACCTACATTATCCTGAGGTGGCGGGGAAATTGAGAGGTGAGGAGGGTGAGCAGAAAAGATGTGCCTACATTATTAGAAAGCCAGATTGATAGTGACGGAGGTCGAGGCTGAGGGGGTAAAAATAAATACATCTACATTATTCTGGAGTCATGTGAGTACGGGAGGTTAGGCCGAGCGAGAAAAACAGATGCAGAGGCATTATTCTTTAGTCAAAGTGAAATTTTTAGAGGTGGAGGTGAAGCTGGAAAACTGTATGAACCATTACTCTTCGGTTAAAGTGATAGTGGGAGGTTAAGGATGCAGCTTTACCTGCTTTATTCAGAGCCTGGAAGGCCACAGTCAGCGGCTGCTGGATGAATCCCTACAGGAGAGAAAACAGTTATTATTACAGAAATCACTTCACTTCAGTTTACTGATGCAGCACACATTCATAACCAATGCTGTCACGCTTTGCTAAAACAAAAACAACCTACATACAAAAATTAGGACCAAGTATTTAACTTTGTACTACTTACTTACATATATATATATAAAACATTGCACACTTTCCAAAATGATAATTCAATGTCAAAAACATGTAGGAAATGCTAGAGAGGGTGGTGTTTAGTCTCATGTCTGTATGTTGAAATTCACACTGACATGCAGCGTTAATGGTAAATTTAATGGTAAATGTTGCTCAGGAGGGTTTTAATAAAGTCAGATATGAATTGTGTTGTGCAGAAAACTTCAGCATGAATATGACAGCTAGTCAATGTAGCGACAGCCACAATGCAAACTACCACAGCGGCAACTTTCTGACAGCAGTTTGAGCTCAGATATGCAGAGCTGATGGGAAAAAGCCTGACAGCCTCGGGAACCGCTTCACATTTTCAGTGTCAGGACGGCCAAAAATAAAGACGAGAGCCAAAACACACAGGTGACACTCATAGAGACAAAAACACAAACTACAGTAAAATATTTACAAACTGACGTCTTACTGCGACACATTTAGAAGGTCAAAACACCTACTGTACTTCAAATTTCAGCTTAATAAACTCCTCACAACTCTAATTGTATATTCATATAATATTTAACAAATAAGATTATTAAGACGTTTATTTATTTTAGTTACTCAAACAAGTAAGGTTTTTGTTGTATTTAAATTTAGCATTGAGTTAGAAAAACACAGACAACATATCAGACAGTCAAAATAAAAAATATAAAGTACTGCTACTGTTAAGGACTTAAAATAAGGTTCTGCTGATCTAATATACCTGATTAATTTAACTTGATTAATTTAACCTGATCAATTTGACCACCTGTAGCGAAGAAGCCTTCATTAATAGGTCCATTTTAAAAGCACTTTATTAAAAACACTTTATTTAACACTGGTTGCACTTTAAGCAAAGATTTGTACATCAATAACCATTTGGAATAAAAAAAATTAACTATTGATATTTAACTAGCATGTAGCCATTTGTGCCGCAGAAGTGGGATGGTTAACCAATTTAGTTTAAATCAAACTTAATTAGTGTCGTTTGTGCCGTTATCATTTTAAAGATATTAAAAATGTTTCCAGAGGTCATCAATGGTCAACCAGACAAATTTTGTGTCAATTAAACGGTGCTACAAATATTCTCATTGCACAAAATAGCAAACTTAATTTATATCAACTTTGTTTGCTTTAAACTTTTTTATCTTAAAAATCATCACGGCACAAACAAAATTTTTGCTGCACAAACGTTTAACACAAATTTAATCAGAAGAAAATTCAAATACTAAAATCCAAACGCTCACCGGTCTTTTCCGTTTCCTCTCCAGGGTGTTCGGGCAAATCTTTCCCCAGGGATACGGACAATATTTATTGGTTCCGGGAGAGGAAAGTTCCCGGGATGAAATTGTGGGGAATTTTCGAAATTGCTCTTTGGTGTACGGCTAAAATATAAAATATTTATAAACAGGATAATGTTTTTATATTTGTATTTATTTAAAATGTATTTATATAGATGGAAGTTGGAAAACTTATACTCACTAATGAAACACAGGGTTGACAAAAAACTCTATCAACAGCTAAATCTGACATTATCTACAAAGGAGTGTTTTATTAAAACATTAAAGGCAAAACAAATACTCAAAACACAGTGAAATAAAGGATGAGATACATTCTTTATTGTAATTAAAGTCTTCAATCATCAGCTCAGCTGCACTGCAGGAATGTCACATCAAAAGATTTCCAAACAAATCAAGAATTTCATCATCTTTGAAAATACAAAAGAAAATCACCAAAACCTTCCAAACCATTACACATCAATGGTTGGCAAGAATGAAAAAGATTTTTAAAAAATCATACAAACCAATAAATGTTGAGATTTCAGATGAGCAGAGCTGGAAATGTGCAAAAGATTAAATTATTCAAAATCAAAACTACTTCCAGTTCTTCTTTCGGTTTCAAACCATTTAGAGATGAAAACATTTTCAGGTCAAACAGATTCTGGACGTTTTCTGCAACATGATTTAAAATCAATCACCAAAAATAAATCAAAACAAACTGCAGGATTTGCTACAAAACACATATAACTGCAGCTTTCACAAAGATTCACAGACAGATAAAAAAAAAAAGAAAGTCAACGTCTTCAGCTTGATTCAGGGACGGATAAAGCTGATAAGTTCCCACTTTCAGGAAACTAACAGCTCACAGCATCACCTTCACTTTCCCGGTTTATTCATGTAAAGAACATAAACTGGTTCTGTTCATTCTGTAAATAAATTTAAAGATTATACAAAAAATAGCATTGAATGAACAGAAATAGCTGCTTTTAATCCCATCCAACCCGTTTCTGTTCTTATATTTCTGTCTGAACAAATCTTTAGAAAAAAAAGATGCTTATTTATAACCCAGGCTGCCATTTTGGACTCTTAAAAAGCCAAATTTTGTAAATTTATCAGATCTTTTCAGTTATTTATAATCCAAACTGAGCCTTTTTTATTAAATCTGCATTGAACAGAACCAAAGGGAGAGACTCTTCCAGGTCTGGGCTCAAACAAAAACGTTGCCTTCACTTTCGATCATACAGCAACAGAAACAAGGCTCTTAATATGAAAAGCTTAACAGGAAGTAATAGCAAAGAGGAATAACTTCATGATGAGATCATTGATTGAAGATGGCAAAGGCTTGCTTTTGGAAAAATGTTTAAAAAGCTTCATGTTCAATGCAGTGAATAAAGGTGAAATAAGGTTCTGGTTCTAAATGATATTCAGGATCTTTCTGAGTAACTTTGCTCACTAAAACAACAGAAAAAGTAAAAAATGATAAACAACCAATCAGAGAGCACTTCAACTCAGTTGCTAGGCAGGGCATGTTGCATTGAAGTTCAAGAATTGTGCAGCTCTCTGGAAAATCCTGAATCAAACTTCTCATCTCAACAAGGCTCGTGGGTAATGGAGTATTTTTCATTAAGTACGGAAGCTCCTTGTTGCCAGAAAAGCAGAAAAATGTTATTAATTTTGAGCTTATTTTAAACTGAAATACTGAATGTTTAACCTTCTAATGTTTGCAGATGTTTGAAGTTCCAGTGTGAATCGTACAGCGCCATCTAGTGGCACAAACACTGAACAACGTTTAACTGTTGGACTGCTGTCAAACCTCCTTTTCAACATATTAGCATCTTAAGACATGTTTAGTTTTAACAATGTTTGCATGGTTTGGACATCAGTTTGATAATTATTAATAATCTGAAACCAGGAAGCTCAACTGAACATTTAACAAACCACTTCAAGCAAAATAAAATGCATTTTCTTTATTTTTAATTAGTTTATTCATGTACACAACTGTAATTTTTGGTCTTACTGTTTGGCCTGATTTTTTTAATTGACAAGGCCAAAAAACAACTGAAAGTTAAAAACTATATTAAAGTTTTGTTGTTATTTTTTGTGTTTCTGGAAAATAAGCAAAAGATTTTGGCATTTTTGCTGCAAAAGCAACACATCAGTTTATGTTCTGCTTTCATTTCAACTTTCAACCTTTTCTACATCTTTAGGCAACAACGGGCTTCCATATACCAAAAACTAATTTCTTTACGCAACATTTTTCTTTCTTTGGGCAATTTTAAATGACCCTTTAACAGAGATGTCCCTATAAAGCGCCCCCTTGTGTCAGATGTTGGGATAAATCAATGAAAAGCTTTGGGTGTTTGAGATTAAAGCTGTCTTCTGTAAACTCGTGCTGCATTCACTGTCTGACAGAAATTACAGTTTATTTCAGTTTTTACATGAATTTGGTTGTTTCCTGAATCATAATTCGAGACGTAAAATCAATCAGTTCAATTCAAAAACAAAAACCACAAACTGTGAACTTTGCTTTTTTTAATTGCAAAAAGACACTTTGATTATCTGTCTCACTCCTCATCTTTGCTTCCACGTCAAACAGGAGGAGGGAGAGGAGAGGTGCATGATGGGTAGTGTAGTCTGTCCCTCTGCTGTGGTGACGGCTCTATGAGATGGCCTTGGCTTCAGGGAGGAAGGCTTCCCAGTATTTAATGAGCTGCAGGTCAGGAAACAGACGATTGTGTCGCTTTTAGCCTTAAATAGATTCTCATTAAAGTTGCAGCAACAATTTAAAAAATTTGACACAAAAGAAAAATTTACAACTTCAAATTAAATTGTTTTGTTTCAATTTTCGTTTTTTAATCAAAAATGAGTGATGTCAAAACTTTGAAGAATAATTATTAAACATTTTCAGACGAAAACAAGTCTTTCTTTGTGTAACTCAGGTTTAAAATAAAATGTTTTACCTGCTGTTGTGTTTGAACCAGCGACTCCAGGTATTTAACAATGATCATCTTAAAGTCCTTAACTCTCTCTTTCTGCAGGAAAAACATGGATGGATTTAAAGTAACAGAGCAGAAAGTGTTGGATTTAAAAACGAGTCCGACTCGTACCTCGAACCTGCTGACTTCTTTGCGGATGGTTTTGGAGATTTGCTCGAAGTCTCTCTCGCCCTGCTGGACTTTTCCCTCCAACTGAAACACAGAAAATATTCAGAGTTTCTGTCTTTATTTGTCTTTAACACACACTGCCTGGTATAAATGTGTCATTTCATCTTTTATTGCACCAGATTATGGCAGAGAATAGGGCCACACGAAGAAACTTTTTTAAATTTTGAAAATAAATTTATAAAATTATGAGAAAAGTCATTTTAATTAGAACAAAGTCTAGACAGAGTTATAAAGTGATCGGCTCTCCAAGTCCATCTGGTTCTTTTTTTTAAGCAGACTCAGTCGTTTGTACAATCGTTACAAAGTCCAGTAAATGATAATAATTTGATGATGTATTAAAAAATAAGCATTTTCTTATTTGTAACATATAAATAATGTATAACTTCATAA